GGCCCCGCGCCCCGGAGGGCCGTGCTGGGGGCAGGGGGCCCCCCTGCCTGCCGCTCGCGTCTTTCCTGGCTTCACGGTTTGTCTTCCAGGTCGCTGCCCTCCCCACTCACCCTTCGGTGCTCACCCCGCCATCGGCTTCTCGCTCACAGGGCCAGGAAGGCCGTGGGGCCTGTGCTGTGCAGTGAAGGTAAAGAAGCCCAACCCAGGCTTTTACTGCAGTTGTTTATCAAAGTCAGCAGCTGTTAATGACAGGAAGGCCGGATCAGGCTAAACCAGGAGCCCTGGGGCCTCTGGAGGGCTGTGTGACAGGCTGGCCTGCAGAAACAGGGTTCTGTGGGACTGAAAGTGAGGTGCCTGAGAGGACGTGGTATTTCTGGAAGGAAAACCACCACGGGGTGTTTTATCCTGTCACTGCTGGTTTTTACTTTGTCATCCCAGGAGCACTGTCTGCCCCGGGTGGGTGGGAAGGCTGTTGACAGTGGTGACTGTCACTGCAGTCCCGGTGGGATCGGGGGTGTGGGGCCCTGCTGTGGTGTTCTGCTGCTCCAGGGAGGAGGCCAGAGCATGTGGCCCAGAGAACACTAAAACACGTATGTCTCCACAATGCAGGTGAATCCTGGGACAGCGAAAGAAGTCACAGTTGTATCACTTACGTGTAGAATAAACAAACCCTAAGCCAGCTGCTCCCACCAACCTCAATTCTGTGGGTACCAGCTCTCAACACTTGATTGACTTCATAGGAAGCTGTGTGTTTTGTCAGGTCTTGAGCTGTCTTCCTGAATGTTTTTGTTACTGTGTTTCTTGGCAGCTCTTTTAATGATTTCTGTATTAAATCCTTAGAAAAAACATTCTCATGTCATCTTCAGAGACTTAACAGTGATGGTGTTTTAGTGCTACGTGTTATTGGCAGACTTAGCTTTAGTCCATTAATGCATCAGAAAGATGTATCATAATCTGTCATAAGTAATCCATAATCAGGCTCTACCCTTCGTGTTAGTGATGTATTCCAGCTGACAGGCTCATGGCCACTTCATGCAAGCTAATTTAATCTTTAAATCATATTGGTTTTTCCATTTGATAAGACTGGTAAGAGGTTTGAATTGGTAGGCAGGGTGGTTTTAGCAAAGAGCTGACAGTGTATTTTTTAAAGCACTGTTCACAAATGGTCTTCAAGTTCATCAAGTCTCAGTGACTACAGAGACTATCATAGTTTCCTGGAAGGCAAGTAATTTGTTCCTCTTGTAAAACTTGGACAGGTATGTCTGTCTGTTTGATACGTCTTTCGTAGATGTTGTGATACCTTTCTGTGTTTACTGGGTTGTTTTTTTTTAATTCCTTTGCTTCAGGTTGAAAAGATGGGAAATGCAGAAAGCAATGTCTATCAGAATCACCTTTCCAGATTTCTTCCTGAGGAGCAGTCTGACATTGATCAACTGTTTGATACTTTATCAGGATCAAGTGGCTCAGCTGGAGCAAAAAATGCCAAAGCTACAAAGAAAACTGTGACTCTGGCAGCACTGCAGGTAAGACAATCTATTGTTCTTGATGTATCTGGGATGTAGTGCATTGAACATAAGTCCAGAGAAAAACTAAGGTTGTGGCAATAGTTACTTTGTAAGGACTCGTTTTAATGTTTTGGGGCAGCATGGGTATTTAACTTTTTCTGACAGTTTAACATGAGTAGTGACTTTCAGGTTTGTATTTACCTCTGACATTGCACTGTTGGGTCTAACTTGCAGCTTTCCTGGTTCTGAGGTAAGATGGGATGTATGAAGGTATTTTCCAGAAACCTGAAAAAAGGGGAGAATATTCTTCCCCCTGGAGTGTGTTTGTTTACAAATTTTCTTGAGAAGCTGTCACAAAGTCAGTTTGTATTTGGTTCTGTCTTCCTCCCTCATCACCATTTCTAACCTTTTCACTTTCACTAAAAAGGATTCAATTTTGTTTGATTAAGCTGTGGCTCCCTGTTTTAGCTAATTACCAGACATTATGCTCTCTGATTAACTTTGCATTCATTTTCTAATCAAGAAAGAAGAGGAAAATGGTTCGTTGCAATACTTGATAACTTAGTGAGGCAGGAACCAAGTGGCCAAATGAATATAGTATTAAAAGAACATATTTTATATATGCTACCCAGTTAATGGAATCAAATTAAGACTCTAGGAAAGAAGTGGGGTATTTTAAGGTTTTTAGCAATGCATCTGCATCCAGATGAGCTTTAGCCTTCCTCCAGTCTGGCTGTTTATTAGCTATCACCAGTTTGGAAGTTTTGTTGCTGCTGCCCTGTCTTTCAACACTAATATGACCAAGAACCTGGTCCTTGGTGTCTATTATTTGGAAGTTTTACCCCTAGATCAATGTGACATTTGTCTTGTCTCTTCCTGCCTTTTTGTTTGCCAATTTAAATGAGAAACTTGTGAAAAATTGCCCGTAGGTGTGTGTTTCCTTCTTGCAGGGACTATTGAATGGCATCCTTTATCTGGCAGGTGTCTGAGTGCACTTCTGAGCTAGATAGATAGGTGGCAGATTTGATCACAGAATCTTAGGGGTTGGAAGGGACTTCAAAAGATCATCCAGATCTAGCAACAGTCTGGTAAAATCGAGGGGGCCCCATCACAGCCTCATGTGCTCTGCTTAGACTCAGTGCTTTACTAGAAGGAAACTGCATGGCTTGTGGACCAGAGCAGGCTGTGCTGTACAGCTTGGAAAGCAGGTAGGGCAGGTATCTCAAGATACTTTCTTGAAACTGTCAGAGGTGTGAATTTATGTGCCTGCCAATGCAGGGGGGTTGGCTCTAGATGATCTTTAAGGTCCCTTCCCACCCAAACCATTCTGTGATTCTATGATTCCAAATTAAATCCTCCCTTACAGAGTTAAACAGAAATCCTTTGTGAACATCCTGTTAACACTCTACATTGTTTTTTTAAAGTCCATGGAATTTGCAGAAAAACAGCATCAATTTAAGTCACTAAATTATATTGGAAAGGAGATTCTATAAAAATAGCATATTTTTTTTTCTCTTGGAAAACCAGTCCTTTGACAAAAGTTTATTGCTGATAGTAGATAGATGGTATTGAAATCCTTCATTCACAGCAGTGTATCTCAGCACAGATTAGCTGGAATATATTAGTTATTCTTCATTTTTAAAGTGTGCTCTTTGCTATTTATGTGGTTGCAGGCGCATATTCGGGAGCCATTACCAGAGCAAATGAGTGCTCGGTTATACAATGGAATGAGAAGTATCGACCTGACTGGGAAATCATCTGGGCTGTGTGAACAGATTGCTAAGGAGCAATTTGTAATTTTTATGTCAAACCTCTTAAAAGGAAATGCAGATGAGAAGATTACCATAATAATGAGAATGATCTCCAAGACTGAAGGGCCTGTGAAGGGCAAACAAATCCAAGAGGTAAACAGGCAGTTAAATGTATATGGGGGGCACAGTAAGAGAGCAGAAACTGGGTGGTAATTTTAAGTTAATCTTTGGAGCACAAGATCAGAACAGCAATTCCTGACTTCTGTGGGGTTTTTAAGTCTCTTTGCCACTGATTTGCTGATTTGGAATAAGGAACAAACGAGGTTATAGGGGGTGATGGTTTCAGCCGTGGGGTGTTCCATGCTGACTTGCCTACTTTGAGAACCTGGACCTGGATTTTGGGGAACACACCGATTGTTTTAGTTGATGGCTCACAGGCTTGCTCTGAAGGGCAAGCAGAGAATGGCAATATTTAAGGGTTGTGGTGTGGCTGGTTCTTTCAAGAACTGAGCAAAATGGTTTCTAGAGCTTTAGTGGCAGGCTAGATGTGTGAATCAAACACACATCTTGCAAGGTGGAAGAGTGGGAACTCACAAAACAGTAATTCACTAGCATCTCTTACCACTGCAAAACTTGGACCTCCTCTCCTTTTCATGCCACATTTTATGGAGATGCTTTGTAAGGTAACATTTCCAAAATGTCTTGAAAAAGGATACGTTTCAAGACCTGTGACACTGCGATAGCATTGCTACTCCTTCTGACTTGTCACAAGAAGAGATGTTTCTACCACAGGGATTACAGCATCAGTACTGCTTGACTTTATTTTCAGAAAGTCCTTTGAAGCTCTTGACAGTTTTATTTAAGAAATGCCAGAATGGTGATGTTTTAATCTTTTCAGTTCACAGAGGATCTGATCATGTCCGTAGTCCATGTACTGAACTACAGGAAGGAACTGAAAGGTTGGAGTTTGGAGAATACTAGGGATTCTACAATTGGAACAAAGGCTATGGCTTCCCAGCTGCTCTCAGATTTGAAGCTTGCAGGTGAGTAGATGAGTGCAGTGCTTCCCAGAATGGCACAGAGCTCACACATTGCTGATCTCACAAGAATTTTTATCTTTGGGTCCTGTCTTTGAATTGAAATGGTGAGACCAGTTTTTCAAACATTGTGCTTTGCCAATTACCTGGGAATTTTATTTATTTCACCTTACGATCTTTCTTTCTTAAATTGAGGGGAGCTTTGGTTTGATGTCCTGGTTTAAGTGGAGATGCAAAACTGTTTGTCATGGAATGTCTGTTTTACAAATACCTGACTGGCAGGTGATGGGCGTTCAAATGCATGTGCATGTATTTATGGCTCTGTGTCCTCTTGCAAAGCTTAGGTTTGCACTGTTGGAGTAACAGCTTTTGCTGTCTTGCAAAGAGCATCTCCTGTCTTGTAACCAGCAGGTCCATGTTTCGTAATCATGACAGCCAAAACAGCAGATGCACAGGCAACTGTTTATCAGTTCTGTGGGTTCATCAGCTTAATGCAGTTGACACTTCACAGTCTCTGGCTTCTTTCATCTGTGGCTTCATGTCCATTAAAAAACCAAAAGGAATACTGTGATTACACTTAAAAATCAACTGATGATTTCCCAGAGTGAAGGCACAGACTGGGAAGCTTATTGCTGTTCCTGTGTGTCTCATTATTTAGATGGGACAAAACCTGTGGGTCCTCAGCTGATGGAGACAAGTTTTGATGAACATGCCATTCAGGACTGGGTGTACCGAGTTCCACAGATCTCAGTGTTCCTCAGTGTTGTTATCAGGCAAGGCCTCCATGTTCTGCATTCTCTCCCAGACCAAACCAAAGACATAGTCAACCTGGTTCCAGGCTGCAAAGGCGTCAAGGGAAGAGGACTTGTCAGTCTCTTTGACATCCCATCCATCATGTACATCAACTCCCATCTGCCTGCAGAGCTACAGCACAAGTGGCAGCTTTTATTTTCTTCTAGACTTCATGGAGAAAGCTTTTCACAGTTATGTGCACATATAGTGAACAAAGGTCCTTGCATACTGATCTTAAAGGACTTAGATGGCTATATCTTTGGTGGGTTTGCATCTCACACCTGGGAGGTGAAGCCACAGTTTCAAGGTAAAACTTCTCTTTTTCTAGTACCTCATGGCTCTGCTATAAATTGCTTGTTCTGTACAGGTACAAGAACACTGTCCATTTAATGGACACTGTAATTTTATTTTCAGGACACGTAGTATTTCTATACTTCCAAGTATATTTTGCTGTGGAAAAAGTAACACCTTTGATTTACTCCTGCTTTGTACTCAGCCAGGTATATTACTGAGCAATGTTTATAGTTTGTTGTTTCATAAGACTTTTAAAATGTCAGGACTTGTTGATCATGGAACAACTTCTCTTTTCTGTGAAATCTATCAGCCCCTGCAGCTGCATAGTTTGAAAATGAAATGAAAATGAAGGAAATCCAGCATAGATGGTGAATTAGAGTTTAAAAAAGGTGCCCGGCAGATGGCAGCCTTCCATCTCAGAACAGCCAAAAACCAGGTTCAAGAGTCTCGATGCCATTTGTGCACTAACTCTTGTCTTTGTTTTCCTTTTAAAGTCCAGCACCAGAAGGGTCCTTAGGACAAGCTAAACTTTTTGTTCCTTTGAAACCCCCGGGGTGAAGAGAAGGTTTTTTTGGTAACTCTTCGGAAAGCACTTTTGTGATGGCTTTCCAAAAAAACAATTATGGGCTCTGTATAATCTGCCCTGCTGGGAAGTCTTGCTTCTAGTACATTAAAAACTCAATTCCTGTACTTCATTAGTATTTGATAATTAGCACTTCAGTCAGTAAATGTAATATTATCTTATATTACACAGCACTTCCCTGATAGAACACTTGTAGGGTGCTAGACAATCACACCACAGGTCCCTCTGAATACCAAACTGGGCAAAATGTAAATTGTACACTAAGCCATTGACCCTGAGCTGATCTGTGGATCTTACAGTCAGAACTAAGGATGCCTGCACTCCTGCCAGTTTGCACAGGTCTAGTGATTGGCCAGTTTTAGAGGAGACACTGCAGGCCTGAGAGAGGTGTCCCCTTTCCTAGTCATGCAATGTAGTGGTGATGCCTCTGCCTGCCCTTGGTCACTGCCATATAATCTCATTCATTTCTCTGACCCTTAACTCTGCACCAAGTGAACTGCGAATAAACAACAGGTCTAGACCTGGAGGGGAGAGAGGTATTTTCTTTCTAAAGCTGCAGCAGCTGGCTTTGATCTATGCAGCTCCACTTCTTCAATATTTTTTTCTTGTCCTATTTGTAGGCAAGTTATTGCTTGGCTTGTTGTCTGACCTCAGATGCTTTTCTTTTTACAGGTGACAACAGATGCTTTCTGTTTTCTGTTTTCCCCTCTCTTGCTGTATACACGTGCACAGGGTATAATGATCACTACATGTATTTGAACCATGGCCAACAAACTATGCCAAATGGACTTGTGAGTATTAAGAAATGACAATTAGGAAACTGGATTCATGGCTGGTATTCAGTATTCTGTGTGTTTTGCTTCTGTTACTGAGAGTTGATTTATTTCACTTGTTATTCTCTGTAGACATTTTCATTCTTTATGATACTTGTGTCACACTTCTAGTAGGAGAATTTTTTTCTTTTGTTACATTAAAGCATCAGGGTAAAGTGTGAACTATGGATAACAATGAGGAACTGCTTACAGTACTGATACAGTCTACAGTTTTCTTTACAGTTGATGGGTATATTGAAGTACTGAGTCAACAAAGATGGGATTTATTTGTGTCTAACCCAAGGAGGTTTGGCTCCATGTAGGTTAGATTCATGGAGGTTCTGGGGAGAACACTTTTTGCCAGGTTTGGTTACCACAAAGGCCCTTCTAGCAGCCCTCCCCTTCGTTGTCTGGAAGAGCTGGTTTCTTTTATCCACAGCACTGAGGCAACACAAGAGCTGATCTGTGTGATGGAGCATCCTTCCACTGGCTGCTCTCAGTGCCACACAAACTGCTTTTTGAATTATGGAAGGCTGAGAAAGCCCAACAGAAATAGAATACAAGAGTTGCATGTAGGCTGCTGCTGTTGCTGTGTGATTACAGTGCCAGAAGCTCCTTTTTCTCAAGCCCACAATGAGCTCTCCAGATACAGAGGAATTTCTACAGAGTTGCAGCACTTCCTAGTTTGAAAAGTGCTTTACAGTTTTGTGGCATTGTGTGACCAAAACTTTGGGAACTGCAGCAGCCTAGAGTCAGTTTGCTCTAAAGAAAGCAAACAACATCACATTACATGTTTTGTTTCTGTAGATACTTTTCTAAACAGAAAAGAGGCAGCAAAGGGAAACACTTTCACCCTGTTTAAAATGGAACTGTCAATAAACAGTGAGCTGAATTTCTGGCATAATACTCAGCCCAAGTGCTTGCAGATCCTGTTGTTCTGGAAAGTGTAGGGGGAGATCAGCGTTCCTGAAGAGGAACAAGAATTTACCTGAGTGATACTACCCCTACAAGTGTGGCATAAATACTGAAAATAGCAATTTGTACTCTTGGTTTCAGACCTTGCCCAGTCTGTTTTACCTGTGCAGCAAGTGTTAAAGTGTCCTGCTTTGGTTCACAGGGTATGGGTGGACAACATGAGTACTTTGGACTCTGGATAGACAGTGACTATGGGAAGGGCCACAGCAAAGCAAAACCTCGATGCACCACCTACAACAGCCCCCAGCTGTCAGCCAAGGAGGATTTCACACTAGATGCCATGGAAGTCTGGGCAGTGGGAGACCTCCTTGAGCATACTGGGGTAGGTGAACAAAACTGTAACCTATGAAATTGTGTCCTGATTGGAAGGGGAGATGGGAATGCAAAACTTGCAGTTGAAGTTTTCCAGTTAAATGTGTTTCCACTGCAATGAATGTTTTCTTTAGTTGGTCTTGTGGTGCCACGTATTTTGTAGCAAGTAAATGGCAAAGCAGTACTGGAATTACTGAGGGTGCCAACAGGAAAGACCATTGGGAACCATGAGGTGACAGAGTCAGAAGAGCAGGACTTTGTTCTGAATTTCAAAAGACCTTTCTGCTGTTGAGGAATGGTCTCCAGGAGGAACCTCCTGGAAGGGGTTCAGTAAAATCTGGTACTTGTAAAACAAAAAGAAAACACCATTAGCTCATAAATAAGGCCTGATCTGTAGCTCAGGAAGAGAACCCAAAAGGTATCTTTATCAGTAACTTTAAATTTACTATTGTTTTACAATGCATTTATGTGAATTGACTTATGCTAGTCTTTTCTGCACCTGCTTTATTTCTGGGAATGAGTATCATAGAATCATAGAATCTTAGGGGTTGGAAGGGACCTCGAAAGATCATCTAGTCCAATCCCCCCTGCCAGAGCAGGGTCACCCAGAGTACATCACACAGGAACTCATCCAGGTGGGTTTTGAATGTCTCCAGTGAGGGAGACTCCACAACCTCCCTGGGCAGTCTGTTCCAGTGCTCTGTCACTCTTACAGTAAAAAAATTTTTTCGGATATTCACCTTGAACCTCCTATGCTCCAATTTACACCCATTACCCCTTGTCCTATCACTGGTCATCACTGAGAAAAGCCTAACTCCATCTCCCTGACACTCACCCCTTACATATTTGTAAACATTGATGAGGTCACCCCTCAGTCTCCTTTTCTCCAAGCTAAAGAGACCCAGCTCCCTCAGCCTTTCCTCATAAGGGAGATGTTCCACTCCCCTAATCATCTTCGTAGCTCTGCGCTGGACTCTTTCGAGCAGTTCCCTGTCCTTTTTGAACTGAGGGGCCCAGAACTGGACACAATACTCCAGATGTGGCCTCACCAATGCAGAATAGAGGGGGAGGAGAACCTCTCTTGACCTACTAACCACACCCTTTCTAATGCACCCCAGGATGCCATTGGCCTTCTTGGCCACAAGGGCACATTGCTGGCTCATGGTCATCCTCCTGTCTACCAGGACCCCCAGGTCTCTTTCACCTACACTACTCTCCTGCAGTTCAGCCCCTAACCTGTATGGGACATGGTGTTGTTCTTCCCCAAATGCAAAACTCTACACTTCCCCTTGTTGAACTTCATCAGGTTTCTCCCCACCCAACTCTCCAGCCTGTCTAAGTCTCTCTGAATGGCAGCACAGCCTTCTGGTGTGTCAGCCACTCCTCCCCGCTTAGTGTCATCAGCAAACTTGCTGAGGGTACATTCTATACCCTCATCCAGGTCGTTGATGAAGATGTTGAACAACACCGGTCCCAGTACCGGTGAGTAAGAGACTTCTTTCCAGTCTCCCCTGTCCTGGCAATTTATTCACTTACTAAACCGTCTGAAAAATTCAGTATTTTGGTTGTTGTTTTTTTTACAAAATCTGATTCCTTTTCCTACAAAATTCATGTGCCCTTTCTGCTCACTGGACACACAGCTCTAAATAGAAACAAACCAAACTGTTTACAAAAAATGTTGAATTGTACTCTAATCTCTCTAAAAAGTGTTCACATTTGCACTTCAAACTGAGGTCAGGTTAACCAGGATGTTCTGGCTGGCTTGTTACCTGAATAAAATGGAAGTAGTTCATTGTCATCTTAGGAAAAGTTTCTGACTGCTTTGTGTAACTGCAGCAATAAAAATAATTTGATGTCTCCCAGTGCATCTTAAACTCCTCAATGGGAAAATGTGTCTGCCTCATTGTGACAAACCTGTGGGCTTTTGAGTATGTCTCTTTCTTGTAGCCTGATACTGATTCATTCATAGTGACATTTTAAATTGCCTATATTTTTTTCTTTTGAAGACCAAAGGTAAGAAGAGTATCCTGGATGTAGATCCTGAGGCCCAGGCCTTAATGGAAATGATTGGAAAACCACGTCAGAGCGAAGGGCTACGGGAGCCCCTTGAAGAGGATGAGGATGACAACTAGAAGAATCACAGTAACATTAAAAACCTTTTTTTTCCTCTTTTTTTTTTCCCCCATACATGGGGGGACAAAGCTTAAGCCATGTATTTATGTAATAATTAGGTCCAATACAATATCCTGCCTGAATTGTTTTTTTTGGGAGGATGGAAAAATTAAGTAGATACTTAATGATGAGACATCTCTAGCTTCTAGCTGAATATTAATTTCCTAGCATTCCTGAGAGATCCTGTCTGCATACAGAAGGAAAAACATAAGTTATTGACATTATGGCTTACTGGAGAATTTACATATATTTATATAGAGATTGTTCAAGACACTGATTAAGGCTCTTATACCTCAACTGCACATATTTATTTGCATGCAATGAAATTAATCAGTGAAGCTTGCAAATTGTAATTATGTCTTATATTGGTAAACACAGACAGTCCACATGACTCTCATCTGAAAGATGCTATTACATTGCTCCACTTAACAGCATTAAATGTCATGTTTTCTAAGTCAGATTTTCAGTGACTCTTAAGTGCTATAGCACCCAGTTTTATAACACTACAGTACACCTTAGTGCACTTCACTTAAGATGTTTCTGCAGAAATTTGCCTATTGCTTTTTAATCTTAATAGAACAGAGCCCCTTTGTCCTAAGAATGTGCCATACCTCCAGCAGGAATCCCTTCTTTAGTAGCCTCACATGACACTGGAGTTAAGGTTCAGGGTGTGAATAGGATTAAGAAGCATCCACAGTTAATTGGGAATATCTGCAGATACCTTGTAAAAAAATAATAAAAAATTCAGGGTTATGTCTGCAACATGTTTAAAGAAGACTGCTGCACACTTTAGTCCACACAATCATTACAGTGTTATGGAAAAAAAGGCCTGCAATATGAAATGTAATTAGTGGGTTGGAGTTTTTGCTCTAAAGGCTCTTTACCAGTTTTGTCAACTCTCTTAAACTCAGGGCTTTTTTTACTTGAATCTGTTCACAACTATCAAATCATGATTAGTTTGATCTTGCTAATTCTATGTGTAACAAACCTGTCAAAAATAAACCTGATTTCTAGCAGGGATTGTAATTTCTTACTCAGCAAATTGTGTTTGGTTATTAGTATGGGTGACTTTCGGTCTTCCTCCTCCTAGGGAAAAGGTCTGTCTCAAATCCCCCTGGTCTTAACAAGAGTTAAGTGCTTAGAGCAAAAAATGTGCTGTAACAGTCTGTAAAATCACTGCAATTCCTGTTCATGTGGCTCTCCTTCAAATGCCTTCCCTTAGTGTTTGTTTCCTTGGATGTGGTCTTTTTTTCCCCCAGCTGATGTTACTCAACATGTTCAAAGCTGGCTCTCTAGGAGAAATCTGCCCTTGTGCCTTAGTGTAGATCTGATTTCTAAAAATGCTATTAAATATGAATTTAACCTTGAAAGGAGAGCATGAAGAAATCACTCCAGCCAGACATCTTAGAATGACATTGTGCATTTTATATGGTACCTGAACTAATGATTGGGGCATATCTGCTGTCTGTTCCAGTAAAGAGTATTCTGTGAGTGGCCTGAGCTCATCCCCTTTTATCTTGTATTTGCTTAAATAAACCAGATTATTGTCTCCCAAGACTGTAAACACACAGGAAAAAAAAAAAAAGTAAGCATTAAAACAATTACACTCATACTTCTGTATAATTTTCTTCTCTCTATGTTTTAATAAGAATTTTAAATGGAACAAAGTAGGGAGTTCCATATAAACAGCAAGTGAGGACATGATGCTCTCTCTAAGTGAGAGATGCTGGCTTTTGTTCTTATGTTTCCAGCTCCCAGAGGTGTCCTTCACTCGGGCACTAACTAAGCATACTACATACTTGAGGTGGATGGCATCCATAGTGGAATTTCTGCAGTTACATGCAGAATAAACAACCAGACTTTCTTTTCCTTCCATTACAAGGCAGAGACTTTTCTTTGAGGACTGGAACTATTTGCAAGGAATTTTAAAAGGCACAGTGAACAGACACCTTTGCAGACTGCATCTGGGGAAGGTGAGTTGCACCAAGCTACCCCCTTCACCAAAAATGTTTTTGTGGCCAGGTTTTCTTTCATTTAAAATAAGTATCAGTAGAGCTGGTTCTTTCTAGGCTATGGATCTAAAATGTAATCCTGTTTAAGTATTATCTTAATGTAATCCTGCTTAAATATCATCTTGTGAAGATCAGCATAGCACTTCGACCTCTGAAATTGTGTTTTATGACAAATTTGTATCTGACACTCACCTTCACTTTGAAGCAAAGGTGTTAAGCTGGGGCAAGAAAAAACCTCTTGCTACATCACATTTACCAAATGTATCCACGAGTGTTATTTAATAGGAACTACTGGTCCAACCAGCAGATGGGATTATTCAAAATTGTTCTTTAAAAGTAAAAGATTGGCTTGGAAGAGACTCAACATTCCCCCCCACTTCCCAAGCCTAATAATTAAGCAATCTGTGCTCATGCATCTAAAAATGTCCAGAAAGTGTTTGTCAGCAGTGGGCTCAGCTATGATCTAAACATCTCTTACTCACTTGAATGCAGCTGTTGGTCCAACTGCAAAGCTCAACATCCCTGCTATGTCTGTGACTCTTCTTCATTCCCCATTAAATCCAGCCACTGCTGTGCATCAGCCCAGCCCAACCTTCTGCTGTTCTCCTATCAGTCACACAGGTGCAAAACCATCACTGCAGTGGGGGACAGAAGCTGACAGCTGAGGGTTGGCACTACAGCTCCACTCTTTGGCATCTTCCTGCAGTTTCCTTGGGAGTTGTGTTGAATCAAGGCTTGACAACTGTGAATCTAGAAACACTGTAGACTGACTACAGGAAAAGAAGTGCTAGTGAAGGTCGTTTCCATTCTTCTAATTTAATACACAAGGACAGGTCTAACTCAGGACTCTCATTCAGATACTTAGCTGTAACATTTAAAAATACGTAGATTTTATTAATAAAAATCCCTTTGATTTAAAAATAAATAAACGTTTAGTTTATGCACAGTAGATTTTCTGTACAGGTGTGAAACTGCCTTATTTTGTCTGGGACTGTCATAGCCTTCTTGACACGTAGATCAATGTTATAAAAATATACCTGATCTTGGGTTAAAACAGGAGCCCCTCAGGAGTTTTCCAGGGACAGCTCAAACAGGTGAGGGAGAACATGTAGAAGGAGCAAGCTCTGGAGTAGGAAGACCTGTGGGTACAGATGCACTTGAGCATCCTCAGAGAGGTTGTGCAGTGCCAGAAAATGGTGCATTGGAATGCTCCAGCATCACAGCTCTGTTCCACCTGTATCTTTAGGGGAAGCTCCCATCAGTTGTGACCTCCCCTGGGGTGCTCAGGTTGGCAGCAGCGCCTTTCACAGAGTTTGACAAACTCAGACACAATGAAAACAGAGGAAGCCAGTCCAGTGAGGAACAGCAGGTCTGCCAAGGGGAAAAAGAGTACAGATGAGCACAGCGGAGACCTGGATTTGTGCCCCCCACAAAGGGCCTTCCTGCAGCAGACACTTGTGCTGGTGTAACTCCATAGAGGTAGGACTTAACTATGCTTTTGCTGGCCTTAAAATTAGAGAAGTGACTGATGGACAAATACCCATACAGTCAGTTGGATAGTCCATTTGCTGGGTGGTAATCTCTATGTAAATAATATGGGATCACTGAATCCTGCTTCTAACACCATGTCTAGTGTAGCTGCAATGCCATGTAGCATGTTAAGGGTTTGCTCTGAGGGACTCAAATGGTAAAACATACATTGCATTTCAGCTGGGAAACATCTACTCTGCTTTTCCAAAATGAAATGACTGCATAATGATCCTAGATAGATTTCTGTAGAGAAATATCATCAGACATATCTTGGCATGTCTGCATTTATATGCATCTATGTGCAGTAAATCAATTTAAAGCCTAGGCTGGGATAACACTGTTAAATACTACGACAATTTATGTAGAGCTGTGTGTGTACGTAGGCATAGGAGCTGTTGACTGATTCCCCTACCAGCAATCTGCTGGGAGCCATCATGTCACAGTGTGGGAATCTCTTTTGCTTTTTAAAGTAGATTTAAAGGAAAAAAACACAGCTATTTATTTTCAACTTACCTAGCACTCCTAAGTTCTCTGTCTGGAAGACTTTTTGTAGTGGAGGGATGTATATAACAGCCAGCTGGCCCAAAAATGACCCAAGCACAGAGTACAAGAACATGCGGTTTCGAAAAAAACCTATTTCAAATATCAGCTTTGTCTAGAGAAGAGAGGAAAACAAAAAAGAGAAATGGAACATTTCCCACTGTCCTGTTGGCCCTCAAATGTCACCCTGCTTCCTGCACGTAAACTCCATTACTTCTTCAAGTTACACGGATGCTAATTTAAGCAGAGCTACATGGTTGAACATGTAGTTGCCGTTGCACTGCGGTGGATAACTTTATTTATAAAGGTGATAAAAATCATGCTGCTGTAAATGACACCTAAAAAGCCCTCCCTGTTCAAGCACAAGTACCCCAATGTTTATGTCAGGGTTCTGCTGACCCAGCGATCTCACCTGAGAGCGGCACGTCAGGGCATTGAAGAGGTCAAAAAACACAAAGCAGGTAAAAGTCATGGTTGTGGTTCGAGGAGTTATGCCACTTTTTGGGTTCTGAAAGCACATGTGCAATTCAGGGGTTAGTTAAGCCTTGCAAACATATGTCAATTCAGCAGATTAATTCAATACTGTCTTTAAGGACCCCAGTCAATCCAAAGGGTAGTGAAACAAAGGAATAAATCTAATTCTAACATTTAATCCTCTCTGCTAATTTTTGAGTTTATCATCTTATCAACCCTGTTTAAAATTGTTAAACTGATGTGGAATTTGAGTAAAGACAATTCTAAATTACATGACTTAAATTGGTTAAGTAGCAGTTACTGTTTACTAACAGCAATCTGCAGTACTAATGTACTTGGCATTTCTCCTTATGTAGAAATCTAGAGGAGAAAAGTACCTTAAAGCACTGACATCTCAAGAAATC